ACTGCTGACCACAAGACATCACCAAGCAAGACTGAACCCTCTGAAATCCAATCCCTTGTCTTATTTGTGTGGAATATTGTATGAATGGCTTCTCCCCAGTAAATAGGGAGGTTTCAGTTGTGCTTGCTCTCTTGCCTGCCTCTTGCCTCCATGCACTCCAGCATGGGAGCTTGATTCTTGAGGCTGCATAGCCATCCTGAACCCCCAAAGTTTTTTTCTGTGTTTGTGTGGTTTTTTCAATGCCAACCCAATCCACCCGGAATGACCCTGATCCCATCCCACACTGCAACACCTTTCAGTAGAATTTGACAGAGTACCCATTCTTTCATAAAATATACCTCCTGGATTTCATGACAGACATCATACCAGACCACATTTATTTTATTTTTCTTCCAAGGACTAGCTTATCTCTTGCCCTTCTTTATTGGCAGTTCCCTTTTTTTAATAGCCATCTAAATAGATAAAAGTTTTATAATTTTAGTTTTTACATTTAGATTTATGATCCATACTGATTTTAATTTTGTAAATAATGAGTTAAAGGTCAAAGTTCATTCTTAAGTGTGCCAATATCCAATACTTCTAGCACTTGTTGAAAAGACTATCATTAAATTATTTTTGCCAAAAATTAGTTGATCATATATAAGTGGGGTATCTATGCCTGGATTCTCTATACTCTTACATCAATTGGTTATATATACTTAGATCAATACCACACTGTTTTGATTACTATAACTTTATAATAATTCATAAAAAGTGACAATGTGAATCTTCTACTTCTGCTCTAAAATTCAAATCTGCTTTGGTTATTAGGTTATATTGAAGCCAGATTTAAAATTAGGTAGTCAGTGTAGTTAGGTAAATCGGGTCTAATATCCAGTGAAATCTAAAATGGAGGCCGTGCGGAGAATGACTCAGGGAAAACACAGGACAACTCATGGAATGTTAATGAAGTCCCAAAAGGCCCTAGGCCAAAGTCCACCTCAAAGAAATGTTAATGAACAGCCCCCAGCAAAAAGGTGCTGACTCAGAAGTCCTTCCTGACCAGATTACTTCTTTGGCCCACCTGTGTCCCACCCCTCGGGACTTCCAACCTACATTCCATCACCAAACCTATAAAAAGGGAAACACATTTGCCCTCCAACTGGATTCCATCTCTTGGGTCCCCTTCTTCCTCAGGGAGAAGTCTTTTCTGCTGTCCTTTAATAAACTTCTAATTTCTACTCTGACCTTGCCTCGGCGTGCTCTCTGGTGTTATTCTTCAACAACGGGGAAGCAAGGACTCGTCACCGGTCAACAGCGGTAACTATATAAGTCCTTTGCTTTTCCATATTAATTTTAAATGCATTTGTCAATTTCCACAAAAGATCACTGAGATTTTTTGCTGGCAAGCCATTGATTCCATGTTTCCATTTCAGGAGAAATATTAAGAACATTTAGTCTTCCATTTAGTTATATCATTCTATTTAATTGGATATTTTTGCATTTTTCTCAGCAACATTTGGTAATCAGCATACAAATTTAAGCACCTATTTTACATATTTGTATGTAAGTAGTAATTCCCATGCATTAAATAGTTTTTTAAATTTAATTTAATTTTTGTTATTGGGGATTGAACTAACTGAGGTACTCCACTACTGAGATATATCACCAGCGTTTTTTATTTTGAGTCAGAGTCTCACTAAATTCCTGAGGTTGGCCTCCATCTTGGAATTCTCCTGCCTCAGCCTCTTGAGTCACTAGTGCCCAGCTGGTATTGTTTTTTAAATTACAATTCCAAATGTTAATTTGTCTATACAATGCAATTAATTTTTTTATATTATCACTGAACCTTGCCAAACTGCAAAATTTACCACTAGTTTTAGTAGCTGTAGAGCTTCTTTAGGATTTTCTATGAGAATTCCATCTAAGAATGAAGACCAGGTTTATTTTTTTCCCTTCTAACTTAACTTTAATTTCTTTCTCATATTATTGCTTTGGCTAATAATCTCCAATAAAAGGTGAAAAAAAGTGAGAAAAGCAGACCAAAATTGCCTTGTTCTCAATCTTAGGGAGACAGCATTCATTTTCATAAATAAATATGATGCAAATAGTACATTTATCATAGATATCACATATCAAGTAAGGAAAAATTTTTTAGCTTGCAGAGTTTATCATGAATGAATACTTATTTTTTCAAATAAATTTTTCATCTATTGTGATGATGTGATTTTTCCTTTTATAATTTGTTGATATAATGAGTTATACTGAATGCTTTTTAAAATTTGAAACAAACTTGCATTCCTAAGATAAAAATGATTTTCTTATATGTCATTTTTTATATATTGCTGAATTTTACTTTCTAAAATTTCTGCCTCTATCTTGGCAAGTGATATCAGATTGTAATTTTTTTCTTGTCTTTGTCAGGTTTTGATATTGATGCAATACTAGCCTTGTAAAATGAGTTGAAGTATTCAATCCTGTTTTCTAGACGACTTAGTATAGAATTGGCATTATTCCTTCCTTGAATATTTGGGAGAATTTAACACTAAAGCCATTCTAAGAAGTGTGGAATGTATATGGTCAGGAGTGGGGCATAACCGAAGATTCAAATGATGAATTTTAAAGCCATTTAATTTATCCTTTTCATCTTTTGTGAGCTGTGTGAACAGTTCATGTCTTTGAAGGAATTTGTTCATTTCATCATTTTCCCATGACACAATATTCTTAATTTTCTTTTCCTTTTAGTGTTTATAAAATTATTAATGACAACTATATAATTCTTAATAATGTTAATTTGTGTCTTCTTTTTCTTTTTGATAAGTCCAGAGGTTTTATTAATTACATGTTGTTCTTTGCAAATAACTTTTGTTTTCACTTATTTCCTCTTTTTCTCTTGTTCTATTCCATTTATTTCTACTCGTTATTATTTTCTCCATTTGCTGGCTCAAGCTTTAATACACTAGATTTTTTTTCCTATCTTCTTAAGATAGATGTTTAAATTACTGAATTGAGCTTTTTCTTCTTCTCTATTACAAATAGTTTAAAATTTTATTATTGTCAAACAGTATATTTTGTATGATTTCAATATTTCATTTTTCTTTGCATTTCAAACTGAGGGCCTCTCTGAGAGCATGCTATGGAAGCACTCTACCATTAAGCTACATTCCCAGCCCTTTATCCTTTTAAAATTGATGACATTTGTTGTATGGCTTGGAATATGGTTTATCTTCATGAATGTTTCATGTGCAATTGTCAAGAATGTTACTGTGCTATCATTGGGTTGAGTGGCATGTAAACTGGTTGAGAGTGCTACTTGGGTCTTCTTATCTATACTAATTTTCTGTCTACCTGTTCCATCAACTACAGAAGTAATTGTAAGGACTGCAACCCTTCCCCTGTTTTCATGTTGTTTTTGGCCAATGAGAAACAACAGTAGAAACTGGAGAGTTTCGGGGGAAAGCACTTTGGGTAATTAACTTCCAGCTCCTTTCCTGTTGGGTTCTAGGTAGGCAATGGTTATGTTCTTATGAAGGCACCATAAGGGGCTCCTGACTGTCACACTTAGTAATAAACCTCACTGCTCCCTGGTAATCTCTCCTCCCTTAACTTCTTAGGTCTCTCTTATTAGCTTTGGGTATGTCAATATCACTTTTGTATTCTGGTAATCCTGCCCACACCTATGTAAATGACCATTTCATTAAACAACCCTCAAACATTTTTCTTGAGCAAGTCATATATTACCTGATGGAGATTCTTACTGACATGTTAATAGTACTAAATTAAGTTAGAACTGTTCTTCCATCCCACTCACTTAATAACAAACACTTAAAAAGAAAAAAAAAATGAGTCTACTTTGATCAGAGGATGAATATATTGGCCATTGTTGACCAAATTCTCTTAAACACAGCGCCAGATCACATTATTCTCATATCTAAGCAATATACCTTTAGAATCAATGTTGGAGGACATCGACATGCTACAGTTAGACAATGAAATATAAGTGAGATGCAGTAGTCCATAACAAACCATCAGGTCTCATGTTACATCAACTGAGCAGAATAAATACCCATCACAGTAGCCCTAAACTGCTCAGAATAGAGATCATATTGTGCTTTTTTCTCACTTCATCCCATTTGTCAGAAAATGTGTGGTTATTTGATTTAAACAGAGAGGAGTTATGATAGGTTCCCCATACAGGACTGAAGGCAAGACAAACTATTTTGGAGAGCTGGGGCAATACCGAATACTTAATTAGAAAAGGCATTTGAATTAGAAATTCTGTTTTTCTCTGAGTTCCTCTGAAAAGACTTCTGCGGTCTCAATCTTAAAGAACACGTGGACAAGATAAGCAAAATGCTGAGAAAGAAATAACATTTTTACAAAATCCTGCTAACCTTGTCCACATGTGTTGTAAAGAAAGTAAGCAACAATCTTTGTACCTAAAGGGCCACAGGACCCGTAGTGTTTCAAAACAGTGGATTAGCTTCTTGTCCTGTCTAGCCTATGGGCAAAAGGTATCCTCCATCACAACAAAAGACTTCCAGGCACTTGAGCAGAAAAAAAAGGGGGGCTGAAATGCCTCTGGGTGTGACAGACACCCACCCTCGAAGAATGCTGTTGTTGGGCCAAGCAGGAGGATAACCCCTCTCTTCATAGGCCCGCCTCACCTTTGCCTCAATTATTAATTTCGTTTTCAAACGAAACCCCGCCTTCCAACTGAAGTCCCAATTACAGGTACAGAAGAAAGAAAACGTGTAAACGCGCAGCGTATCCTTATCTCTCGCGAGAGCTCGCCGAGAGCAAGGAGTTTCTGTGAAGACATCGCGAGAGGACTGGGAGCCAGGGGCAGGGTACGCCGTGGCCCCGCCCTTCCAGAGCGCGGGCGCAACTTGGCGGGAATTTTGCCTGTTTCCGGTTTAGATCCCATGAACTCCGGGGCGGTAGAGGTGATCTTGGGGAGCAGATCTCCGGGACTGCAGGTAGGGTCAGGTACGACGGGCACCGTGGGGGAAGGGGAGTCGTCGGGGCCTTGTTGCAGCCTGATGCTCCGGACGCCGGCTCCGCTCACCCACTGCTTCAGTGCTGCGGGTGTGTGTCTCCTACCCGCTTTAGAAGGAGTGGTGCCCGGGAGTAGTTGCCCGGTGTAATTTACCCCAGCCTGCAAGGGAGCTTTCTCCACCCTGCCACCTGGATACCGGCGGAGTGAGGTTTAGCAACTTAGGAGAGGGCGCACGCAGTTCGAGGCGGGCTCAGAGCTGAAGCTGGATCCGTTCTGCAAACATTTCCCTGTCCCAGCCGGCAGAATCCGACAAGGAAGGCAGAGTTTACATCAGTGCCACAAAGCCAGTCGGAGGAGCATTGGTCTGACAGCCTTGATCTGGGTTGACATGGCGGGGTAGGAACGTGGGGAGGGTAAAAAATTTTTTTGTTTGTTTTTCCTTTGTGCTATGGAGTGTTTTAGGAACTTTCTAATGTAACTCCTAATCTTTCTGCTCGTTTCACTTTCAGGAATCTTTTTACAACTTCTCTTTGGAGCCTTAATGGTAATCATAAGGAAACACAACATTTCAGGACATGAAGTAAATAATGGATGATTGTTATGTTGCGTCAACATTCCTTACTGACAGTTTAGAGTTGGAACTGGGGACAGAATGGTGCAAACCCCCTTCCTTTTCCTGTGCTTTTGACAACCGAGGGCTAGGACAAAATTTTTCTGGAGAATCCTATCTTGCTAGTGGAGCCCTTAAACGGTAGGTTAAAAAAAAAAAAAAGTAAGAGACTGTTTATCCCTTATCTGATTATTCATCAGTTTGTTAGGAATGTTTTCATTTCAGTTTATTATAAACTTTGGCATTTGCCCAACCATGTTTTGTAAATAGGCTTATTGTATCAATAAGGATGCAAATTAAGTAGTTCTATTGTTGGCTTCCTGGTTAGAGCACACCTAAAAGTATTTTGAGTATTAAAGAGGAGTTCCTTGGAAACTGATGTTCTTTTACCTTACTGCTACCTCCCCGTGGGGTGGGGAACTGGGCACTAATTTATCTTTTAATCAAAGTGAATTATAAAACACGAGGGCCTTTTAAAATGGTATTTCCTTTTAGTGACTATAATAGTCTAGCTTTTTTGATAATTTTTAAGCAAGACATACACATTTCTGTTGCCACAGTTACTTCAAATCCTATCTATACCTATGGAAGTCATGGACTTATTTTTGCACTGATCAGGTATATTCATATTACAGTAAAACTACATTCTTGAAATATTCTGGCAGTACCTACTGAGGGAATTTCAGTCATTAAGGAAATAATTTTTGTTGATTTTATATTTATACCTTGTTGGAGACCTTAAAAGAGATTCCCCAACTTGGATTATGCTATTCCCTAGACATAAACCTAATAACTTTTGACTGTTTTAAAAAGTTAAATGTTGCCCCAAGGAATGAAATATTATAACTGAAAATCACTAGTAAAGTCAGGCAAGAGTGTGTGCCCTTGAATCCTTTTAGATCTTTAGCTGTATTTTTAAATTTTATCACCATGCAAGAATGAAATTTTAGTACAATCTGGCCATAGTAATCCAGATATGTAAGGTGCCAGTGCATTTCCTGACTTATTACATGTCATGAATAATGTGAATTCAAATAATGTGAAAAAGGACATGCTATATTATGACATTTAGCATTGATGAGATTAAATCAGGCTTTTTTTTTTTATATATTTCAGATTAATTTTGAATCTCGATCCTTTACCAACAAATTTTGAAGAGGATACAGTGGAAATATTTGGCATTCAGTGGGTTACTGAAACAGCATTAGTGAATTCATCTAGAGATCTCTTTAATTTATTCAGGTGTGTGTGTGTGTGTGTGTGTTTGTGTGTGTGTTTAACACCCTATGCGTATAGATGGTGATCAGTTTTGTGAGTTACATTGCTGGGTGATTTCTGTACTGATTACAAAAACATCAGTGGAATTGTGCTTGTTGCGCACTTTATTTTCTTACTAATAACAGTAGTTAAGCAGTAATGCTGATAGACCTTTGTTTTATTTATTTATATGTGGTGCTGAGAATTGAACCCAGTGCCTTACACATGCCAGGCAAGTGTGCTACCACTGAGCCACAGCCCCAGCCCTGGAGTAATAGTTTTAATGGTTGCTTTTTATTGATTTTTCAGAATCTTTGTTTGTAGTTGACATGTTTGTAGAAAACAAATAGTTAAGCTTTGAACCATACTGTAAATTTTGGAAGAAAAATTAAAATCCTTTATTACTTAATAGCCAAAGTCTTTCAATGAACTTTTGAGAATAAACTCAGACTTTCCAAATATGTCTTTGAAACAGCATAGTAAGAATATAATTAATTCTCTATTTAGGCAAGATTTTTAAAAAAATACTTTAATGAAAAGTTTCAAATATACACAAAAATAGAATAGTATTACCAACTCCCATTTACTCTCATTACAATAAGCATCAAGATTTTATCACATTTTTTCTGTCTTATCCCCTGTTCTTTTGTACAGTATTTATAAATAAGTTTTAGGTATCATGCCATTTCATCCTAAAATACTTCATAATGTGTTTCTTAAAACTATGGTTGTTTCATAGTCAAGCCTCAAGGGTTCCTCCTGCCTCAGCCTCCAAGTAGTTGAAATTAACAGGTGTATACCACTGTGCCTGGCTGGGATTTTTTTTTTTTTTTTTAACTATGTGTCATTAGTACAATTAGCAGGATTAAATTAGTTGTTCATTACATATAACACAGTCTGTACTTAGATTTTAAGATTATTTTAAATCAAATCAGTTGTGCTTATTGCTCAACTTTAGGGCAAAGTATCTAAAAACACATTAAAAATGTATATATGGGGGCTGGGGATGTGGCTCAAGTGGTAGCACGCTTGCCTGGCATTGGTGTGGCCCAGGTTCAATCCTCAGCACCACATAAAAACAAAGATGTTGTGTCCGCTGAAAACTAAAAAATAAATATTAAAAAATTCTCTCTCACTTTCTCTTTAAAAAAAAAAAAATATATATATATATATATATATATATATATATGGTACATTTAAATGAAAATGAAGAGGTCCTGAATTCCACTCTTATTCCATAAGACCTTCTAAAGAGACAGTGTATCTGTGCCATGTTGTGTGTTTTATTGAGAGAACAGGCTGAATGAATCTTTGTAATCCCGACATAAGTTATGAATATGGGCTAATATTTAAAGAGACTGAAGGCAAGTAGGAAGAATAGCAAGAGAAGGTGAATATCAAGAAATCAGAGGGAAACGAATATGGCTTTCCATGATAACTTCAGTCTGCATAATTCAAACTACTTTTTTCAAACTACTGCATTTTTCAAACTACTATATAATACAATGTAACATTTTCTTATAAAACTTTTGATCTAGAATGTTTTATGTGTCAAACTTTCTAAAGATATTAACTGTATTTCATTGATTGAGAGCTGAGATACTTGAAATAATTTCTGAGATCCATGTACCTTTTAATACACCTTTCTGAGATTTCTGAGATCTGTGCATCTTTTAATTTTTGGAAGGTCAAAGGTGTGTTTTCTGTTCTTTAAAAAATTTTGCTATCTAAATCTGACTTTTAATAAACACTCACAAAATGTTAAACATCATCCATAACTAAATTGTATTAAAGCTATTTAATAGGCATGGAAACATTATCTGTGTAGTTGTTAAATATGCTTTAAGCTATACTAAAATTAACTCTCTCTTTACCATTTTTAAATTAGGCAACAGCTATACAACTTGGAAACCTTATTACAGGTCAGCTGTGATTTTGGTAAGTTAAAGTGCATTTAGTGGCAAAAAGGAATGTGGCTCCATTGCATGAATTGCACATGGGTCTGTAAGAATGTAATTGGGATATCATAATATGAGGGATGTGTTGGGTTAGAAATTCATAATATAGTGAATGCAGAATTCAGAAAAAAATATGACATTTACATATTGTTATGGTTAAGGTTTATAGCATTTTTTTCAAATGTGTAGGTCTTAAATGTAAAACTGATTTAAGGAAGCTAAACTTCTCAGAAGTGAATTACTACTTGTTTTGGAGGTGTTGGGTGGGATGGAGAACTAAACAAGAAATTAAAAGTAACAAAATTCTGCTTTCTGCTTTTTTTTTTTCTTTTGGCATTTAATGGATTACTGACTTAAGGGGGCTTGGTATAGTTAAGGTACTAAAGGAAATTGAAGGTCAATATTGTTTTATTACAGGCTAGCTGCTTTTCCTTTCCAACATTTTTAGTGCATTGTAGAATTCTAAGTTGTGACTTTGTGATCAGCCTGGCTCTGAACTTAGCTAATTGCAGATCTCACACCAAGTAATAGTTCTTACCACAGTGAGATATTGTGATGATTAAATCCCTTAACACATGTAAGACCTTAGCCCGGTGTCTATCATTAGTGATGCTCAGCTACCAAAGATGACCAGAATATGCTTTTAGTCAAAGAGAGGTTTATTTGCTTATCAAAGCAAGGAAAATGGAAGATATGAAAGCATAAAGTTTTAGGGAGTATGGAATGAATAATACTTTGTGTGTTTACATCAGAGTTTAAGTGAGAGTGAAAAATTTAGAAGGGATGAAATCACAATGTGTTTTAAAAACTATGATGGATAATGTAAATTTGACTTCAAAACATCAAGGGATCTGCAAATCAAAGGATTTTAGTGAAAAGAGCAAAAATAATACTTTTACTATCTAAAATGAATTGGATTTAGGGAAGGTGTTTATTACCTAAGATTATTATACTATATACTTAATAACCTAAAACCACTACAGACAGCCCTTTGTGTCTGTGGGTTCCACATCTGTGGGGCGGGGGGGAGGGCAGATTACTACACTATTTTATATCAAAGATTTAAGCATCTGCAAATTTTGGTATTCACAGTGGGTACTGGCAATAATCCCTGCAGATACTGGCTTATGACTATCTTTGTTTAAGTGGTTATTTTTCATGCTGACACTTTGGTTCTTTTTCTTGATGAAAAAAAGTTCTTCATGACAGACTTTTTTGGACAGGCTAGCAGTATTAGAGATAATCTATAGATCAAGTGGTCCCTGCCAAGCAGTATGTCACAACATTGATAATAAATTTGTGCAGCTAGCCTTGGCCCTCAATTCTTCCCAACTTTTATGTGGGAATCCTTCCTGCCAGTGCCTATAGTGCTGCCCTCTTCCTTACCTTTCCAGGGTTGCTTTCTAGTTAAGGTAGCACATGTTCTCTTGATTATCTCAAATTTAATTTTTTTTATCTCTAGACATTCCATTTAGATTTTTTTCAATATCTTTTATTTCTGTCCTTAAATTTTTTTCCATCTATCTTGCATATGTGGATTATGTGTGTAATCACTTTGTAAGTTAGTTGACTGCTGATTCTTTCATCACTTTCATTTCTGGATCTGTTTGTATTGATTGGTTTTTCTCCTGGTTCTGTGACACATTTTTCTGCTTGGAATATCTGTTTAATACTGTTTTATTGTATAATGTATATTATGGATTTTAAATTGCTACTTTTTATATTTTCTTACATTCCTCTGTCAAATTTGTTCTGGCTTGCTATTGAAAACTTGTAATCCACTGACTCTTTTTGAAGTTTGTTTTAAATTTCATTAGGGCTTTTAAAAAGCCCCCTTTAAGCTAGATGTCATGGTGTATGCCTATAATCCTAAGTTCTCTGGAGGTTGAGGTGAAAAGATCCCAAGTATTAGGCCAGCATGGTCAATTTAGCAATACCCTGTATCAAAAAAAAAAAAAAAAAAAGGATGAGAGGACGGGGATGTAGTTCAGTGGTAGCAAGGCCCTGGGTTCAATCATCAGTACTACAAAAGCACAAGAAAATCCTCCTTGAGGTGAATACTAATGTAGCATAGTAAATTAACCTAGTGAATCTTCTCAGTATTCTTTCTGGTGACTGGTATTTTAAGAGGTCTTTTATTTTTTTCTTCTTGCTGGTGGGAACTTGATCTGTTCACTTGTGTATGCTTTATAGGGAAATGTTTTCTGGTGTTTTTCTGTGGCCTTGGGTAATTTTTTGTCATCTTTGAACAGATTGGTACTTAATCAAAGAATCAAGGGAGACCCTTGCTGCATTTTTTAGAGGTGTTTAAATAGGCTTCTTTCTCCCTTGGTACTTTTCCCCTGTAAATTTAGATTTTTCTTAACTCAGATCTCATATCTCGATAGTGCAACAAGTGGGCTCTCTCTGGGCTGTCTCCCCTGTCCCACACCCTGGAAACTCTTTAGATGAGAAGCCAATGCACTCATGGATTTCACCTTCTTTCTGAGATAGCGATCTTGTATTGTCTTATGTGCAATGCCTGAAAACTTATGTTATTTTTATGGTTATTTTTAAGTTTACAGTGGGAGATGGATAAATAATCCTATTACTCCATCTTGCATGGATGTAAAAGTTCACAGCAATTATTGTTAGGCAGTACTGCTTTTAGAAGCTGAGAATTGTGAAAATGAGGATTGTCTTAGTCCCCTTTCTATAGCTATAACTGAGTATTGCAGACTAAATAATTCATGAAAGAGGTTTTTTTAGGTATGATTGTAAAAGCTGGAAAGTTCAAGATCTGGCAGCTGCATTTGGTAAGGGCCTCATGCAGCATCCTAACAAAGTAGATGGTAACATGGGCACATTTAAAAGAGGCAAAATGTGAGGAGTGGCTTTGCTATGTAGCAGCCCACTGTCCTAGTAATTAATCCAGTTCTCCAACAATGAGAATACTCTCTGTGAGATAGCATTCATTCCTCTTAATGATCTAATCACCTCTTAAAGACCCCGACCTCCCAACACCACCATGCATTTTGGAGGGAACAAACTGTCTTCAAAGTATGGTGAGGATATGACTTTTATTGGTGAATTGGTGATTCACCTAAGTGCTGATTAATATGTAAGTATTTACACAACAACTTTATACTTATTGTCTTATTAGTTTTGCCAAAGTAGTGGGCATTTTTTTTTTATTTGAACTCAAACTTAGAAATTTTGTTCTATGTTTAATTTGTTGTCTATAATTCTCATCACATTTTCTCTTATTTTGTTTAGTGATTGTTTCTTACTTATTATAGTGGTAACCAGTGTTTTACATGTAGTAATTACCTAGATAATTCTTACTGATACAAAGGTTAAGGTAAGTGAGGGAAAGAGCATGGGTCAAGGTTGGGAGAAAGACAGGAACTATTTAAAGGTCATTTGGGGCCTTATAAATCATTGGTTTTAATTTCATTCTAAGTATAGTTGATAGCTTTAAGTGGTTTTGATGGAGTAACCAAAAATAATATGTTAATTTTGTATTTGGATTAAAGGGAGGCAAAGAAGGAAGTGGGAAAACTTGTTAGGAGTCCTTTTGTAGTGGATTAAGGTAAATGGATTATAGGGAAAATGGACAGTTTGAAGGTGTATTGTGTTGTAAACTAAATAGGGCTGATGGATTGGTCTGAGGTTAAAGGAAATGAAAGAATTAAAAATGATATAGGCTACTAGTGGTATCATTTAATGGAAGGGAAAAAATGTACACAGCATGAACTGATTTTGGAAGCCATCAAAAGGTATATTATTTGCAATGTAAGGGCATGCTGTCAGACAGTAATGTCTATGTATAAATGTTAGGCAATTTAGCATTCAAGAGAGGAGGGGAATTAGTGCTGAATCCTGAGGAGACCTCATATTAGTAGTAGCATTGAGAAAGAAAGATCAATCAGTAAAGAAGAGTTAGGAGAAAGGACACACAAGAAAGAAAGAAGACTGGCAGTATGTAGGCTCAGTGAAGCCAGTGCAACTTCAAAGGCAAGTTCCTGAGGACAGGTAATATCCATTAGATCAGGCAACACAGTTGCTGACCTTTTTAAGAGCAGTTGTGGAGGCATGAGGTGGGGGTGTACAAGAATCACAGGAATCAGCAGAAAAAGTTACTGGGAGGGAGAAGGGGAATTGCATGGGAGATGGAAGAAGACCATCATTGTTATACAAAATACATGTATGATGATGTGAGGGGGGGAAAGAAAAGAAATGTGTTACATTAGATTGGGTAGAGAGAAGTGATGGGAGCGGAGGGGAGGGTAAGGGGGGATAGGAAGGGCAGCAGAATAAAATAGACACTCTTATTGCTATATGTATATATGTGTCTGTATAACCAATGTGATTCTGCAAACTGTACACTTGGAAAAATGAGAAATTATACCCCATTTGATTCAAATGTATGATACGTCAAGACCATTGTATTGTCATGCGCAACTAATAAAAAAAGAGAAAAAGTTACTAGACCAAATTACTGCTGGTGTAGCCTGTAAAATTTTTCTTCACTGCTCACTGGTAATTGTTTAAGTTATAGTTAACATTGTTCATTTTGGTTTCAGGGAAGATATCAACCCTACATTGCAAAGCAGATAATATCAGGAAGCAGTGTGTCATATTTCTCCATTATGTTAAAGTTTTCATCTTCAGGTAGGATGACAGATGAGTAGTTTGATTAATGTATGAATTTTTATGGGTATATTTATCCAGACAGTGGTTATTTATTGTATCCAATTACTTTTTAGATGCCTGAAAATACAGGATGCTGAGTCTTATGTTCCTGTCCATCCTTATGAGACTTTGGAGGCTCAGCTTCCCTCAGTGTTGGTTGATGAACTTCGTGGATTACTTTTGTATATTGGACACCTATCTGAACTTCCCAGTATTCATCTGGGAGCATATTTAAATCAAAACCAGACTAAGGTTTGATTTGTTTCATTTAAATTTTAAATTCTCAGATTTTTTTCCTCACAGGGAATACTTATTCCAGAATGGGAAAAATCAGTCAATGTTACAACCCTGGTACAAACACTGCATGAGATTAGATCCTGGTCCCCTCTTTATTAATTAGTTCAAAGCAAGTAATGTCTTTGCTTCAGTTTCTCCACCTATGTAAGTTGTATAATTTCCTAAAATTATTGGAAAATTCAAATAAATTAATATGCATGAAGGGCTTAAAAATAATAACTATTGTTTTTCCTGTTCATGACAATATAGAAAAAGTTGCAAAAAGACTCTGTCTCTAAAATTTGTTTTATCTTCCTCAGTGATAAGGATTTGTGAAAGCTGCTGCCTATATTGTAGTATGATTAAACATCTCCTAAAAAAGTACACTTTCAAAACCACATCATTTTAAATATTCTGACTTTTTAGACCTCTTTGGAATATTATTGAGATAATTTTAATTGTGTTCTTATTTCCCTGCCTGTGGTAATTATTCTCTCTGAAGGTTGCTTTTAAAAAAACAAAAATCAAATTATTAGTGTAGTCTAGTTTATAGTTAATAAAAAATTCACCATATGAAAATGGAACTGGTTATAAATGATAAGTTATAATGAGTTTACATTGAGATTCCCTGAACTCTGAACTCCTTCTGTTATATTTTACTTCATCAATTTGAGTAATTTTTTATTTTTCAGAAAATATGTCAATGTAAGATACAAAATGTAAGATACAATTTTTTATGTATTTCTGTGAAATCATACCAAAACTCCAAAGAGTTCACACTTTTTTTTAAAAAAAATCAGAGATTAGTTTATTTAATAATAAAGGAAATAGAGTTCCAACTGAATTCATAGGTTAATATGTCTAATCCATAGAAAACAAGTAAATAATTGCTTTTAGTTATATCATTTAATACAGCCATGGGTAAATTGTGGAAGGAGGACTATCCTCCCCCCCCCATTTTTTTTGTCTTCTATAAATTACACTGGTTATTATTTCTTGGATAGCCATCAAATGTAAAAGAAAATAAAAATGAATAATTTATCAAGCAGCAGAAATAGATGTTTGTGCACAAGGGTCCTCATACTAGATTTTGCCTTTCATAGACTTTTTAATTAGGCAGATTTGAAAACAGGTTGTTTGAAGCTCAGAAGACTGAATTTTTAAACCATGGGACCTTAAAGTCTTCAACAAATAAACAAATCACACACTGAAATACCGTTCTTCTGAAACAACCAGAAATCTTAGAAAATAAAAAACATCTTTTAAGACTTTATATTTAATATTTTTTATCAATCTTGCATGTGAATAGTCTTATTTTAGGTAGCATTTCTAATTGAGCATCTGTCTTTTATTGTTTTTTATAAACTTAATATGTGAGATATTATTTATTGGGTGTTATATATCACAGATATTTTCATCCATTTATTTTTTCACCAATTAAGCTGACTTCTCAGGTAGATCATTTAAGTTGTATTTATTGATTATTCTGTAGTGTTATCTATGGTGTTGTTAAGAAATATTTTGGTTTATACATTTTTTTAAAATGTGTAATGAGGTGGGAAATCTTACTTTAATTTCTTCAAATGGGTAAGTCAACAACCCTATCTTAATGATCTATGCTTTCCCCATGACCTGAGATTGTATATGTAACTATCTCCTTCTTCTTATTCTTGCTATTTTTTTTAATCAATTTTTGTGCCAATACAGTTTTATTATTCTTGCATTTTATTTTGTTTGTGTATATGATAAAACAAGTTGCTTCTGCATCATTCTTACCTGATGTTCTAATTAGAACTTGTTGTGTCATTGTATTTATCTTTATAGCGGTGCTCAGTGTAGACTAGATGAAGGTTATTGAGAACCCAGTGCAGCACAATGGATAAAAATTCTGGCTTTAGAGTCAGATAGAATTGCATTTGAATCTTAATGCATAAATTAAGAGACAAATTTTTCCACCTCTTTCATCTTCCACTTCTTAAAAAAAGATGACTATAATGTCTACATGGTAGTCTGAAGCTCTTTTTTTTTTTTTCAAAAAAAAATATAGAAGTTCTTGGGTACTCATTAAATGAAAAAATATATTTGCTAGCTAAATTCCAAAAACAAAGTCATGAAAATGTTTCTAAAAATTTTTTGACTGCCTTACAACTTTAGTAGAATTAGACATTGGTTGCAGGGAAGATTCTACAAATCTATTGAGCAGCCTCAAAATGGGTCTAACACCAATGGTTAAAAATATATCCTGCTTTCAATTCAAAGATCTTCATTGAAAGAATACTCCAATGAACAATGCAGATTTTCCCTGAGTTTTTGAGTAGTGGTAGGTTAACTGGTTCTTTACCCTTGTGTATATGGTGGAATATTTTGAAATACTACAGAGTACTTAGTAAAGTATTCTGAATTTTCAATTGTACTTGATGATGTCGTTCACAGCTTTTTCCTCCATCATGGCATTTATTACATCTCTACTTAGATATCCATTGGATGGCTTTAGAGATTCTTCACATGCTGGGTGAAAAATTTAGTAAGTTTTTGGGTTTTTGATTTATTTCTTTTTTAGACATCTGAACTTTCATTCATTTCATTGTCTGATTTTTATTTTAGAAAGTTAAGTAGTAATAAAATAAATAATAAAAGTTATAATCCGTTTTCCCTGAGTTAATGCAGGGAATAGGTTGGTCTATTTATCTTTCCACATTCACTATCTATTGGTACATGTATATAAATTCACAGGTAGGATTGGGTTTTTGTTTTAACTACAGATAGTATCATCACTTTTCAGTATGGTCTTTGAGTTAGCAGTTTTATAGAGATCTGTTTATGTTACTACATATAGTTCTGCTTATTCATTTAAAGATCTACTGTACTTTATTGAACCTTGTCTACTTTTTAAACATTTAAGTTATTTCCATTTATTTTATATTATATATGTCACTGAACATCCATATACAAATGTGTATGCATACACGTATTTTAATCTATGTGCACATTAGTCTATAAAATAATTTCTTAGAAGTAGAGTGGCACGTTGGCAGTTAAATATTGTATATGCTGCTCTTCTTTGTTATTGTATAGTAAGTCGGAACTAATAGGTTAACTATGAGTGAAGCTTTACTACATATTCTTGCCAGTAGTGGACATTATTAATTTTTTTGGCTAATACATGGAAAGTTATATTCTCTTTTTTGAATTTTCTGGTTACTAGTGAAGTTGAATACCTTTATATAATTTTATTGTCTGTTCATAGTTGTTTTATTAATTGCCTGTTATCTTTTAAAATTTTCTTACTATTTTAGTAGAAGTTAATATATAAGTAATAATTCTTTATTTTATATGTTGCCTATTTATTTCTTAATCTTGGTGGTTTGCATTTTAGGTTAACAACCTGTTATTTATGTTGTAATGGTATGCATAACCTCAGTATCTGCTTTGCAATTTATTAATAGACTTAAAAACTTTTAACATATATGTGTGTGTGTACATGTGTGAGCATGTATAAACAAACATACAAAAGTATACACAGATTTATAATTTATTCTCATGGGGACTCTGTATTTCACATATTTTCTCAAAGCAATACAGAAGTGAACTTCCTGTGATAAGTGCAAATTTTGCTTGTTTGTTACTTTGGTTTGGTCTATGGCCCATAATGATTGCATGCGGTCAGCTTATCAGTATTTGTTAAAATAATAATGTTTTAGAAGTTTTATTGATCAGAAAGGTGGGTGAGAGCTGTGCATGGTGGTGCACACCTGTAATCCCAGTGGCTCAGGAGGCTGAGGCAGGAGGATTGCAAGTCTAAAGCCAGACTCAGCAAAAGTGAGGCACTAAGCAACTCAGTGAGACCCTGTCTCTAATAAAATACAAAATAGGGCTGGGGATGTGGCTCAGTAGTCAAGTGCCCCTGAGTTCAATCCCTGGTACCAAAGAAAGAAAGAAAGAAAGAAAAGTAGGTGAAATTTTTCTCTCTTGTTTTTAAGTGATGTAGCTTTAATGCTTTTTAAAGATAGACTTTAGGGGGAAAAGAAGAAGCTTATTAAATTTATATAGAAGTACTGAAAATTTATTTTTTTATTTTTCAGAACAAGTTATATATGGACATCAGTTTGTCAGTTTGGCAGGTGACAATTTAACCAATGTCAGCTTATTTGAAGAACATTGTGAGAATCTTTTTTGTGATTTAATAAGCCTGTCAATCAACAGGTATGATAAGGTAATACTTTAAGAAGTACTTGTTGTTTTGGTGTTTAATGGTAATAGTACTTATTGCAAGTGGTTTGATCTATAAAAATTTGATCTATAATAGTTTGATTATTAATTCTCCTAATTTTATATTTGGTTACTGTTATCTGGGAATTAAAAGGGAAATTTATTTTTTAACCTGTACATAAATACATGAAAATTGTCCATATTAATATAGTAACATGTTTCCATACTTTCATATAGTGTGTTTAAATGAGGTTAAACCATCTGTCTCCTCATTTATCATTTATTCATAGTAAAAGCTTTCAAAATCCTTTCTTCCAGCTTTTTTATATGTACAGGACATTATTATTATGTATGATTACCCTACTGTACAGTAGCACACCAGAGCTTGTTCCTGTCTGACAAGGAACAAGTATACACTGATCAATATTTCCTCACCTTCCTTCCACTTTCTCTCCACAGTTGCTGGTAACTACTTATTCTCAACTTCTATGAAATCAACTTTTGTAGATTCCAAATATGAGTGACATCTTTTTATGCCTGACTTATTTCACTTAACATAATGATCTTCTATTTAATCCATGTTGCAAATTACAGGATTTTATTCTTATCTGTTGCAGAATAGTATTCTTTGTGTATAGGTACCACATTATCTTTATCCATTCATCAGTTGAAAGTTTCTTGGTGACTTTTAATTGTGCTGCAATCAAAGTGGAAGTATAGATGTCTCTTCAAAATACTAATTTTATTTCCTTTGGATATATATTAAGGGATGGAATTACTCGATTATATGGTAGTTCTATTTTTTTGAAAACCTTTACAGTGTTTTCATAATCACTATATATTTCCACCAACAGTATGCAAGTGTTCCCTTTTCTCCACATTCTTGCCAGAACTTATTATCTTCAGTCTTTTCTATAATAGCCATTTTTACTGGGGTGAGCTGCTATTTCATTGTGGTTTTGATTTGCATTTCCCTGATAATTAGTGATATTGTGCATTTTTTAATACATATTTTGAATGTTTTTTTTTGAGAAGTCCCTCTTAAGATCTGTTGCCCACTTTTTAATTAGATCGTTTTTAATATTTTTTAGTTTATTTTTATTTTTTTAAATATTTCTCCTCCTCTGGTCAAGAATAAATAAATGAAAATAAGATGTTTAGAAAAATGTCTGTAAATTTAACTTGTATTCAAATAGAAGTTCTATTCAAATGAAAGGGTAGCCCTTTATTAATCTGTTATATTACTGCTAATGGATACTTAAAACAAAAGTTATTTGACAAATTTAAAGAGAGGTTTTTGTTTGGTGATTTTCATAAAAGGTCTAGAATTATGGGCAAATTGTATGTTTTTACTAAATTGCACTTACCAATTAGTGTTTAACAAAGATCATGATTTAAAGGTGCTTCAGACATGTTCATTTTCAAGTAGTGGAAATTTGTAGATTGTCAGGACTTGTTTTGGATTATGAGCTTAAAACCTACTTGTAGGAAATCAAGATTTAGAGAAATTAGGATTTGTAAGTTTTAAAAATTTTAGATTGTTTTATGCTTTTATTAATATCTTAAATTTAGTCTTTATAATTAATCATGTGTATCAACCAATATGCTATTTACTATTTTTTAACATTAACTTAGGTTTTCTGGACAAAAAATTATAAATATTAGTCATATACAGTGATATTTTTAAACATGTATACATTGTAGAATGATTAAATTGGATGTAATTAGCATTACATCACATACATATTTTCTGTGGTGAAAACATGAATATGATACACTGTTTTTCACTGAAGTCACTGTGTTGGTTTAATTCAGTATTCTTTTATTCTTTCAACCCTTCATCACTCCCAGTTGCTGTAACCATCATTGTGCTTATTGCTTCTAAAAGTTCAGCTTTTTAAAATTTCTTATGTGAGGTCATGTGTGGTATTTGTCTTTCTTCGCTGACCATAATGTTCTCCACTTCATCCGTGATGTTGCCAATAGCAGGATTTCCTTTTTTAAAGAGTCAAATAGTATTCCATTTTGTGTGTGTATTTGTGTACACATACATAAATACATACCACAAATTTTTTTGTTCATTCATTCATTTATGGACACTCAGGTAGAAGACTTATTTTGGCTATTATGAATAATGCTGCAATGAACATGGAAGTGCATATATTTCTATGACATACTGGTTTCATTTCCTTTAGATATTTACCAAAGATTGGGATTTCTGGATACATAATTTTAAAATTTTGTAGAAACCTCCATACTGTATCCCATCATGACTATAATAATTTATATTTCAGAAGATGGAAGATGAGGCAGGCATGGTGGTGTGCGCCTGTAATCCCAGTGGTTTGGGAGGCTGAGGCAGGAGGATTGCGAGTTCAAATCCAGCCTTAGCATTGGTGAGGCACTAAGCAACTCAGTGAGACCCTGTCTCTAAATAAAACACAAAATAGGGCTGGGGAAGTGGCTCAGTGGTTGAGTGCCCCTGAGTTCAATCCCCAGTAGCAAAAGAAAAAAAGAAAAAGATGCATTCCTGTGATGATTAGTGATGTTGAACATTTTTTCCTATGCCTATTGGTCATTTGTATGTCTTCTTTTGAGAAGGATCCTTTGTCCATTTGATTATTTTCTTGCTATTGACTTCTCTAGTTTCTTACCTATTTTGGATATTAACATCTCATCAGATATATAGTTTGCGTATATTTTCTCTTGTTCCATATGTTTTGTCATCACTTTGTTCAGTTTTATCTCCTGAGCAGATTATTCATTTCTAGTAAGTATATTTGTTTTTGTTGCTTGGACTTTTGTGGTCATATCTAAGAAATCATTGCTTAGTCCAATTCATAGAGCTTTTCTCATGTTTTCTCTTACAGTTTTAGGTCCTACATTTAAGTCTTTATCTTTAATTCATTTGAGTTGAGTTTTGGATATGTGAGATGAGGGTCTAATTTCATTCTTCTGCGTGTGGATATACAGTTTTCCCAACAGTTATTTGTTATATATTCTGGTACCTTTGTCCAAAATTCATTGGCTGTAAATGAATATAATTATTTCTGAACACTTTATTCAGTTTTATTGCTTTGTTCTTTGTGTACTGGCACAGACTATTTTGATTACTATATCTTTGTGTAGTATATTTTAATGCCTCTAGGTTTTTTGTTGTTGTTTTGGTTGTTTACTCAAGATCACTTTGAATATTCGTGTTCTTTGCTGGTTCCATACAGATTTTAAGATTGTTCTGTCTCTCTGAAAAATGTGATTGAGATTTTGATAGGGATTTCATTAAATCTGTTGCACATCATACAATTGTTCACCTCCTTGGTTAAATTTATTCTTAAGTATTTCTTTTTGCTAGCTGTTATGAATGGGATCATTTTGATTTCGTTTTCAGATAGTTTGCTATTAGTCTATAGAAACACTTTGTGTTTTTGAATATTGATTTTGTATACTACAACTTTACTGAATTTATCGGCTCTAATTTTAAACTTTTATATATATGGGAGCATGTCATCTACAGGCACAGATAACGTAACTTCTTCCTTTAAAATTTGAATGCCTTTTATTTTTTTCTCTTTTTTAATTGCACTTGTTAAGAACTTCCACTAATGTTTTAGCGGCTATTACTTGTTACCATGCTTTTTATGTAAGAGGTGTGTACCTAATGTGAAATACTAAATACATTATGAATTTCAGTAGACTAGATTTACTTGTAAATATAGTGTACATTGCATTAACTAGATTTATTTAAGATATTTTGTTACTGAAATTCTTAATAATTTGGAAATTGACTAATCTGTGTAAAAACCTGATAATTATGGTTATTATGTCTTATAAAAATTTATCATGCTTTATAGTGAATCTATTTTCTAATATTTTCATTGAAAGTCTTATTTTCTTTATTCCTATTTCTTTTTTCTTTTTGGTAGTGGTAGAAGAATTATATTTTGCTCAGTGAACAATGACCCTGAGGTTTAATATAGCCTAATACCTATTTTGTAAATTAGGTTTTTATTAGTAACACACTTCTTCCTATTTCTCTCACCTGTTGTCTGTGGCTGCTATTGTACTATAATGGCAGATAGAGCTGAAGAGTCATAACAGAGCTTGTATTTCCACCAAAGTCATAAAATATTTACTATTTAACCCTTCTTGGAAAAAGGTGGTTGACCTCTGGACTAGATGCATAAAGCAGAGGTTTCTTTTAAGTTGAAATTAAAATCTATTCTGTAATTTTGTTTTAAAAAGGAAACTTATTTTAAAAATTAATGAAAAGGTATTTTTCATAAATAATTTTATCTAACCGAGAATACATTTCTAAATCAATCTTGTAAAACAGATAGGTGACATGTAAATTTCTGTTGCTCTCTTATAAATAACCCATTTTGGTTCTGTTCTACAGGTTAGGCCTTCTGAAGCATTAATGAGTCATCATTGCCCATGTCCATGCATTAAAGAATTATGGATTCTTCTCATTCATCTTCTAGACCACAGAAGGAAATGGTCTCTTTCAGAAGTAAGTGGAAAAATGATGTTCAGTTATTTTTACTAACTTTCATACTGAATTTATTCAGAGTTTTTAGCTAAGAAAATCTTACTAAGTTCCTTCTTTATAGGAAGATAGAAACAATCACCAAACAGCGCATTGACTGAATACCAAAATATTACTTCATTTTTAACTCCAAATTAATAATAAAGAAAAATGTGGAGGGCTGGCTCAGCAGTAGAGCACTTACCTAGCATGTGCAAGGCCCTGGGTTCAATCCTCAGCACGACATAAAAATAAATAAATAAAGGTATTGTGTCTAACTACACCTAAAAAATAAATATTTTGAAAAAAAGAAAGAAAAATATGGAAATACAAAATTGGACTCTTAAAGTTCTATTTTTGTTATATCAGGAATATTTTATGTTAAATTATTTAATACCTTCTAGTAATCCAGAAAACATTTTAATCAGAAAATTTGTTATAACTGGAGGATATAGGGTGAAATATGACATAAATTTCTATCACTTGGTTTTATAGTATTTTATTTCAGGAAGAGATGTATTAAGGGGAAATAGGAAATTTTCTTTCATCTCATTTTGAGTCAGGTCTTCAGAGAAGGGCTTTATTTTACTTGAAGTATTATAGATTATTGGAAAAGAAAATATTTATAGGTAGAAGTGCACAAAACAATTCACTGTGAAATGACATTTAAAATGGATGATAGTATATGAAAAAGTACTTTTGATTTTTCATGAATTTTTGAGCTTCCCAATTTTATACAATTTGGTGTTGGTGCTGCTAATTTTAATAACAACTGTATTTTTGCAGATTGACAATTGCTATATTTAAATTTTGAGTTATTTTAGCAGCAAATAAGTGTAAATATAATGTATTTCTGCTTTTTGGGGAGAGATTTTTCTTCCACTTTAGTTTGTCAGAGTAGATTTTTGCATTCTACAGTGAGATTTAAGTGTTACAGTCTCCACAGCTTTTTGCTTTTGATTATTTGCCAGTTTTTGTTTGTTTGTTTTTGATTCCTTTGACATAGTTAACATTTTTTTCCTGTTTCTTACAATTTGTTTTACTTTGTTAAAAGAATTTTGTAATTTAGAGTTTTTCTTGTTTTATACAGTCTAGTCTTGAAATGGCAATCACATATAGCTAATGTGGGCATGTTTATCCTGTTGCCCAGAGTCTTTTTTTTTTACATTTTTAAGACAAAAGATATTTAATTTTAAACATTAAGTAGCAGAAATTGCATAATCACATGTATTGTGTAACAAATTATTTATATGCTCTTCATTTTATGTGGTAACTAGATTTATTTTTTTAAAAAAATGAAAGTCTGAGGTCATTTATTTTTAAGTACAACTAAAATAAGTTCTATGATTCACAGATTTTTAAAGGCTATTTTCTTTTCACACTCAAATTAGCAGTTTTCATTCCCAAGAATAAGATAGTTTGAACTTCTTGCTAAAAATAATCGAATCATGCTGGATATGATATAATGAACATTTTAAGTGTGTCAGTGAGCTAGTAGAAAGTAAAAAATACTGAGACCAAATACTAAATGTAGGTGGTAATTTAGGTAAGTTGAATTGTGAAATTGCCTTATAACTTTAGAAACCATTGCTGAATTCCATTAACTTGAACTTTGGCTTTCATGCATTATAGTGAAAATAAGGAAATATCAGTCATGCACAAAAGAAATATTAGAAAGACAAATAAGCAACTGTTGGGATTGATGGATAGAAATAAATTGCTGGATTGAAATTTAGTGGTGTAAGTCTTGAGTTTTCTATAAAACTGTAATGTATTTAGTAATTAGTAAGTGTTTTAAAACAACTGCACATAAAACAATTTTTTTATTGATAAAAATATGAACACTGAGAATCAATGTATTTTTTATTTGGATTTCTCTCTTTAGGTAATTCACATATGAGTAGTTAATTTGGCAGTAGCTCTAGGAAACTGGTTAGGGGAATGGAGAACTGAGAAAAGAAGTAAAGGGCATCTCATAAAGAGTGTATTACCAAGCAAATCAGTATGAGAAAATAGAGCTTGACCTTTGTGGGGGAACTCTGAAAAGCCAAGGGGCGACACAGAGCTCAGAGCCATGCCATTTGAGAGGAGGGGAGGAATGTTCTGACTGTTGAGATGGGTAACATTAATTCCCAGAAAATGTCCTAAGGCAAGAAAAGCAGAGGCAGATAGTTTGAAGTTTAGGGGCTGATTGGTGCTAAAAAGGTCTGAGATGACATAGGTGGATCAATTAAATATGTCTACTTGTGTATGTGTGCACACTCATATATTTCTTTTTTTTTTTTAATATTTATTTATTTTTTAGTTTTCGGTGGACACAACATCTTTATTTTATTTGTATGTGGTGCTGAGGATTCGAACCCAGCGCCTCGCGCATGTCAGGCGAGCGCGCTACCGCTTGAGCCACACCCCCAGCCCCACACTCATATATTTCTGATGTATATTAACTTACCAAGACATTTGAATGCAAGTTTTTATTTCTAAGATCATCAAGAGAATAGTAGACTATTTTACTTACAGGTTAGTAGTAGGAAAAATACTGAACCCAAGAGGAGATATTGTTAGGTACAATAGTATACAAATAGAAATACAAAATAAGATGCTAGATTTAAAACTAAATTTATTGGTCATTATGTTACCTGTAAATGGGCTACTAAAAGTTATATTTAAAAAAATGTATTGTTGGTACACTCTGTAAGCTATTTACAAAAGACATATTTAAAATACAAAATACATTAAGGTTGATGTTGATAGAAAAAAGATAAAAGCTGTGATGTATTAAACTAATATTAGAAAAAATTTAGGCTTTAGGACAAAAAAAGCACTAAGTTATTTCATATTCATAAAAGGCTTAATTTATCAGGAAGATAAAACAAATTTGAATTTTCTTGAGGCTGGTAACAGGGTATAAAAATAGAAATTGAACTTTAAGGAGATACTCATGATTAAAGTATTGAAGTATATTTCTAAATAATTCATAGTGAAAGAAGAGAAAATGGAAATTGTTAAATATTTTAAAGTAAATAATAACTTTCTAGCAGTTAAAGCTTTAGACTTTTAAAGGGAAATTCACATCTTTAGATGGAAATGTTCTTTAAAAAAGCCTGAAAATTAGTGAACTAAGAATTCATCACAAGATGTTAGAAATAATTTCTTCATGACAAACCTAAAGAAATAAAAGGAAGGAAATAAAAATAAAGTTATGAAATCTATAACATCAAAGAGCATAATGCAGCCAAAAATTGGTTATTCAAAATGATAGTTAAAATTGTCAGTCTTTCCTGAGATGATTACATAGTCAATACTAAAAATAAAGAATATGACTTCAGATTCTGTAGATATTAGAAAGGAATTTTCAAGAGGTTTATGCCAAATAACCTGTTATTTAAATTTTACATGAAACACCCCCCCATCCCCAACACTCCCCCGTTCTCCCCTTCCCCCCCAAAAAAATAGGTGAAAAAATTAGTAAACTTCGCTAAGTGTTTGAGAACAGTAAATTGGATAAATGGTTTATTACATAGTTATACACTGGAATATTCCATTGAACTATGGCAATGCTTGACCTCAGAAACAGAATATTGAGCAAAGGAAGCAAATTACTGAAGAACAGAAACAAATCATTTACAAATGTAAGCATATATTTAAATCTCAAATAAAGCTAAACAGTATGTAATGTAGGCTTTATGTACTTGTGTGGCAAATATTTATAAGCAAGGGGATGCTTATCTGAAAGTCAGGATGATACTGTTAGAAAAGATGATGTAACTGTAGGGACATGTAGAATCTTTCTAAAGTATTAGTTATACTCTAATTCTTAACCAGAGTATTTTTAAAATTTATTCTTTAAGTTTTATATATTTGTTTTGTATTCTCATTTGTGTATATACCTCACTATTAATATGGAGGAAAAACTCTGAGTCATAAGTGATTGAAATATTTTTCTAATTTAACTGAATCACCTTACCTCTATTTCTATAGTCATTTTGGAACTGGTTGAATAAATTACTTAAAACACTGTTTGAAAAATCAAGTGACCTAAGAAAACCTTCTACGCCAATAATACAGTCCAGGGATCCATTAGGTTTTAGTTGGTGGATTATTGCTCATGTAGGATCGTTTTATCAGTTTGATCGCCATGGAGTCCCAGATGAAATGGTAAGATCTTTTATTAATTTATTTTTAACTTTTATACTGTCACTTAATATGTATTTTTTTTTTAAGATGAAGAAAATAAGCAGAAACAACAAAAAGTGAACTCATTCTATGGTAATAAATTCTTTTTATCTATGCATAATGTTTCTACAAACATGTTAAAAATTATAAGGTTTCTATTTTTTTTTTTTTGTTACCAGGGATTGAACCCAGGGGCGCTTAACTACTGAGCCACATCCCCAACCCTTTTAAAAAATATCTTATTTGGAGACAGGGACTCAGTTACTTAGGGCCTGGCTAAGTTTCTGAGCTTGGCTTTGAACTCACAGTCCTCCTGCCTCGGCCTCCTGAGCTACTGTGATTACAGATGTATTCCACAGCTCCTCACAAGGTTTATATTTTCATTGTTTGATTAAGGAAAAGCAATTTACAAAAGGCATGCTATCGAGTCCTGGCTCTCCTAAGTAATTGTGTGACTTTTGAATAAATTACGTAACCCTTTCTGTTCCTCTCTTCTCTCATCCTAAAATCATGAGTTTGAATTGTTCCAGAGGTTCTATCTAGTTCTAAAATCTGTAAGAATAGCAGAGGGAAAGTATGTGTCTCCAGAAACAAAACTACTTGTTTTGTGGATAATTTAATACAAGTATTTCTTCAGAATAGCTTTTTTTTTGGAGGGAGAGGATATTGAGGATTGAACCCAAGGTTGTTCTACATTCCCACCACCCCCTCTTTGTTTTTTTTTTTTGTTTGTTTGTTTTTTTAGAGAGAGAGAGAGAATCTTTTTTAATATTTATTTTTCAGTTTTCAGTGGACACAACATCTTTGTTTGTATGTGGTACTGAGGATTGATCCCGGGCCACATGCTTGCCAGGCTAGCGCGCTACCGCTTGAGCCACATCCCCAGCCCCCCCTCTTTGTTTTTTTAAAGAGTTCTCATTAAGTTGCCCAGACTGGCCTTGAACTGGTGATCATCCTGCTTTAGACTCTAAAGTAGCTGGGATTATAGTCATATACAAATATCCCCAGATATTTCTTTAGAGATGCTTTTCCTAAAGATCTTTTAACCTGCTTAGTAACTATGAAGTTTGCTTCGGATATGAAGAAAAAGATTTTAACTACTATATTATTTTCTAGTTGTGGTCTACTTACAGACATTCTTTTGTAGTATTGCTTAAAAAGCTCTGTGACTTAAACCAGCTGATAGATGTATTTATTTGAAGCCCTATTTGTATATATTTTGTTTGCATTCAGAAATTACATACAGCCCATCAGTTCCATAAAATAAACATCTAGAATCTTAAAGCCAGTGTGTTTTTTAAATTGTTCTTTTTTGTAGGAATGATCCACAAACGTGGCTAGTTGTTAAACCTACCTGAGAATTTTTTTTTAATTGTGTAACTTTATTTATTTTTTAAAGGAATATTGATACATTTTTTTTTGAGAGAGAGAGAGAGAATTTTTTAATATTTGTTTTGTAGTTATTGGCGGACACAACATCTTTGTTTGTATGTGGTGCTGAGAATCAAACCCGGGCCGCACACATACCAGGCGAGCATGCTACTGCTTGAGCCACATCCCCAGCCCCCTACCTGTGAATTTTTAAGATTTCAGACTTCTAGGTCTATTCTGGAGATCCTAATTCAGTAATCCGGTTTGAAATTTTAGAATCTTTATTTTTAAAAAAGTTGTTTGATTTTCATCCTCCTTGAGATACGAGAACCATGGCTTTGAATGTTTTTATGAAATGTATTCCTTGATGGCAATAACAGATTCTTTAGACACTCAATCGTAAGATATAACATTATCATTTATCTTGCTTTCCAACTCATTCTTCCAAGTACATATTCCTCATTTTAATCAGTGTATATAAATATGGTAATTAGCTAAGCAATTCTGAGTTCCTGTTGCTTGCTACCGTAATAATAGGTGCAAAACATGAAACAGATTATGATATCTCCTTGCTTTAAAAAAACATTGCTTTTAGTTTATTAATGCTTGCAGTAATACTTACTAGAATCAGTGGTATATTTCAAGAGTGGTTGATATTGATCCCCCAGATACTCCCAATGTGGTAGATAATCTAGCCACGTGAATATATATGTCATAACTATTAGTATTGTAATGTTGAATTTCAGTGGTATAATCACTATACAGTTTCAGTATTGAAACCACTTTTCCATTTTATACAAAGAATTTTGGAGGAGATTTTGCTTCTGTTTGCACTGAATTATGTTAGTAAATTGTGTTTAAAAATAGCTCAACTTGTATCTTTTAGTATTTGTCAACAGTTCCTATGTAGTTTTCTTTTGCCAAGACACTTAACGTTTTTAAAAAAATCTTAATTCTTTAAGTTATGTGGAATGTTTTAAAAGGAAAGCCAGATTTGTAACAAGAACATTTCATATGATACATGTAGTAAGGATAAGGAATGCATATTTGTAGATGCTTGTGTAAAATAAACCTTTTATTATATGAGTTATCAGAGTTCAAGATATTTCTGAATTTCTTAAAGGCTTTTAAAGAAAAACTCAAGCCTTTTGTTAGTAACAGTTTTCATTTGGTACAAAATGCATGTTACATTTATAACATTTAATATCTCACAGTGACTATTCAATTTTTAACATCAGTGAAGTGTGGTTTACCCATTTTACAGGTAAAGAAACTGAATTACACAGTGATTAATTATCACACTGTTCTATCACTTAGATAAACTTAATATTAGAGTTCTCCTAAGGATTGCCTCTTTAATAAATAGGTCTTTGGAAGGATAGTCTTTTTTTATAGTTTTCCACCAACGTTCCTAGTTTATTCCTGGTATCCCCTCATCCTATCTGATTAATTTTTACTTTTATTTTCAAAGATGTCTCTAGTTGGTGAATCAGATAACTCCTCATCTGAACAAAAAGGCATATTGGTTTAGTCTTTAACAGGGAATTATATAGAATGTTAATTTGGGTCTGAAATATATGTGGATCATAATTTTGAAAATTACCTAAATTACTTTTTCTCTTTATGATGTGTTAGCATAGCCAACTATACTAGAGAAAAGGGTTGTGCAGTAGCATGCTTATTCAACTTAAAAATAATCTGATGTGGGAGAGGATATGAATAATAGTCATGTGTTCTTCACCAGAGAAATACCTCTAGTCTTCTGACAGCATGGGGATATTTCATTTTTAAAAATGTGAACTGATTTGCCCTTAAGATTAATGCAAAATCTTTACATCTAAAATAGGTTTCAGATGTGTTTAATTATTTTTTATTTTAAAAGTTTCTGTAGTTTGGCATTTTGCTATATGTAGATTTAAATCACAGAATTAGCCAATTTCTTATCATAAGCCTATAAGAAAAATTTGGTATCTCACTTTGCATATTAGAAGCTTTAGATTTTCAAACATTCTGTTTAATGCTTTTCCTCTCAATCTAGATGAAAATGTGTTATCCTCTCACAATCCCTGTCATCTATTTTAAAACCAAATACAGTTAAAGAGGAAAATTACTTTTTGGTATTGCAGGGGTCAGTTTTAACAGTGCTTTGCCTGCCAAGAACATAGGGCAATCAGTCAGGCTAGCTGATGCTCGTATTTGAAACATCTGAAATGGCAACCAGATAAAAGGTGTAAAATGTAACCTTAAACTGAGAGTTGTACCCAGAATTCCAGTGTGCTGGAAGTGGAGATTGAGGGAATCAATTTTATATTCCTGGTGGGTTACTACGTATACTAAAACTTAAACGGGTATCTTAGCTTTAATGGTGGGGTAAGAAATAGCAAACACAGCTCCAAATTATCTCTTACCTGAATTAACTTGATTTTCAGAAATAAGGCTATAGTGGTGTAACTTAGTATGTAGAAAAAAACACTATAGCAGCCCAATTTAAATATTTTTGTGAAAGAAAAATCTGTGTCTCTTTGGTATATGTTCTCTTACATTTGATTTAGGAATGATATATTTGCCAATTCTTTCTTTTTAGTCAATTTTTGTTTAGATCGTAGCCACAGTGTTGATCCATATTTTTGAAATTCCCTGGGTAAGAATTATACTACTTCTGTATAATTCTTGTGATTCAAATGGCTTGATAGGACAGAACAATTGAAATTTTGCTCATTAACACTAATTGTGAAACTTCAATTATATCAACCCTGTCATGTTCCTGCTTACTTATCCTTAGTAATAACATGATATAAAAATGAATTGCTGAATTCTGAGGAAAGCCTTGCTAGGAAAACAATCATTTACTTATGCATGGTGTAACAGGGAATATTGGAATCAGATCAACTTAGATTTGAATTAAGAGCACAGTTTAACACAGTATATATATATATATATATATATATATATATATATATATATACACACATACATACATACAATACACAGTATATATATGTATTGATACAACAAAATGGTCTCCTTTTTGAGAGAGTTTTATGGCCAACTAGCAGGTTTCAGTTCTCAGTCTGTAAGACTGTCCTCCTTTCTGATATCAGTTGCAAGCCTGGGGGTTTCCCAAACTATGCTCAGTTTTGATAATTTGCTAGGACTAACAGAAATCACTGAAAACTATTAAAATCATGGTTATTGTTTTTTACAGAGAAGGAATTTATATTCAAATCAGCTAAAGAAGAAGCATATAGGACAGTCCAGGCAGAGTACAAAATGTGGAGCTTCTTTTGTCCTCTCCCTATGGAGTCGGGACACATTAATCTCCTGGCATCAGTATATTGAAAGTACATAGGGAATGCCCATAGTGTCCAGGTTAGCTGACCCAAAGCCCCAAGAGAAGTCACATGTTGGTCTTTTGGGCATAGTAGACTATCCAATATGACTATGGCCTAATCAAGATGCTCCTAACAGGTTTAACATTCCAAGGGCTCAGAGAGTATCTTCCAGAGGCCAGATCTTCTCTTTGTAAAGGGCCAAAATTCTTTACTCCACATTCCTTCCTGGTAAATACTTTTTTTTGCGTTCACCTTACTTACATGAATGTATTTCAAAAAAGTCAGTAATTTTTTTGCTGAAAATAACTCATTATATTAGTAGTTGCTGGATAACAGAAATGTGGCAGCTTAAAACAACAATCATTATCTACACTTAGTTTTTTTTTAATATAACTTTATTTTATTTATTTGTATGTGGTTCTGGGGATCAAACCCAGGGCCTTGCATATGCGAGGCGAGCACTCTACCGCTGAGCCATAACCCCAGCCCCAACACTTAGTTTTTGAGAGGCATTTAGGAGCAGCTTAGCTGAGTGATTCTGCCTAAGGATCTTTGAGGTTAATAGTTAACCTTTAAGCCATGGACTTTAGTCTCTGAAGATAACTGGGACTAGAAGATCCACTTCTAATCTCATGTTTTGGCAGTAAGCTTCAGTTACTCACCATGAGGGGTCTCTTCATGGATGCTCATAGTATGGCCTTTCCCAGATCTAACTAGTCAATAAGAAAGTGTAGTTAAGGTAGAAACTTTATTGTCCTATAACCTTATCTTGGAATTGACTGTCACTTATATTGGTATTGGTAGTCTATTGGTGACAGAACAACCTGGTATGGTGTGAGGGGGAATTGACTTACTGTCGCTTATATTGGTATTAGTATTCTACTGGTGACAGAATAACCTGGTATGGTGTGAGGGGGAATTTCATAAAGCATGAATATCAGGAGGCAGCAGTCATTGAGGACCATTTTAGAGTCTGGCTACTATAGTAACTTTGCACTTTTATTAAATAAATATTTATTTAGTGATTTTCACATTTTATATGAATATTGTTAAGTTATTTAAAATCATAAATATTGCACATGTCTTATTTGTCATTTGAGTTTACCCCATACTCAAATGGTAGAGTAGGATGAGAGTCTGCCTTTAATCTTTAAGGCCTTTGGCCTTGCAGAAGAAGTCTTAAATAATTTCATCCTTTTTTTTTTTTTTTTCACTGTAATAATCTGGTATTTCCAAGGTGCTTTCTTTGCTTCTGGTTTTAACTGATGGCTACATATCTAAACCTCTAAGAATTCAGTGTCCCGAGAAAATGTCTCCCAGGCTTTCCTATTGGAAAAGCAGAATTGTTTTCAGTTTCAGAAAGTCCTTTTTCCGTTTTTTTCCTTATTGTGGAGAGTATTCCACATAATTGAAGTTGCTTTATTTAATCATTGGCTAAATGAGGGTAGTACTGTGTACGATTTTCTTTGTAATATTTTTTTGTTATTTTGTTTAATAAGACAGACTGTCTCAGAGCCATTAAGAATAAAATTAAGGAAAAAAATCTCTTGTGAATAGTTGGAGAATATGAATGAATACTTAGCATAAAAACTTGGAAAAAATATGTAAAGAGTTTTTTCTGTTAGAGTATATCTGACAGCAGATTAAATATTTGTTAATATAATACTGTAGAAGCACGACTTTTAATGAAACAGCTCCCAATAAGGTTTATGTTAGATTAGAATAGTTGGAGATTTTTTTTCTTCCGAATCTTTCAAATCTTTGCCAAAATAATGTTAGATGTTCAAGAAATTGCAATGATTTATAATGGTAGAGAAAATGTATTTTATACTTAATATACCATAATATTAAATATATGCATAGTCAAGAGCAATATTTTGATGCAGCATTATTTTCTTCCTTTCTAGAGACAAATGGAATCAAATTGGAAATTTGTGGAAGAACTGCTCAAACAGTCCTTGAGTATTCAGGTATGTAATTAAAATGAGACAATTTGTAGACTTTGATCAATTTTTATAAGTTCTATTTATAAAAATCAAGCAAACAGTTAAAATGATTTCAATAATAATTTAGTTAGGGTTGTGGCTCAGTGATACAGTGCTTGCCTAGCATGTGTGAAGCACGGGTTCGATTCTCACCACCACATATAAAAAAATAAAATAAAGGTCCACTGACAACTAAACAAAATAATAATAATTTAGTTATTAAAAGTGTGAGATAAAATCATTCTGTGCAGTCCATCTCACAGTAGTTCCTTTTAGTGACTGTCCTTTAAAGATTTTTATTTTCAACACTGAAGTTGTCAGTTAAAGGACAAAGATAATTATCCTAGTTGGTGACTTTGACAAAATGTATTCAAAATAAGTGTTAGATGCTTCAGAACTATAAGCCATTCCTTGACTGTGTGATATCAAACTAGAAGACACGATGAAGGAGATAGTTAGTGGCATTGGAAATTCAGCTATATCCTCATCACAGCAGGAAGGTGACTTGCCTTGCTGAGCAATTTGTCTTACAGGCCTGAATCATATTCTAACTGATAAGGTCCTAGTTTCTGAGCACTCATTTCATACCTTATCATTCTTCTTTCTGCAGAGCTGTTAATGTAGTGCTTCATGGCCCAGAGGTCAGACTTGACCTCCTTTTAAAATAGTTTTAAATTTGCTATCACATCTTTAAACATGTTTTATTGTAGCTCTTTAAAGTTTTATAATATAAGTTGTCACTTATGTAAGCGTTTATGGAAAATTATAGTAAAGATTTTAAATTTGGGAAATAAATTAATTTTTTATTTATGAAGATTGTTTAAAACTTGAAGAGGAATGAAGAAGAAATATTTTAATATAATACTGCTTTATATTGTTCTGTATATTTACAATAGACATTTTTGAAAATCATTTTAACTACTTGAAATATTTTTTATCTATTAGCTATTAACTTTTTAAGGTGAAACATAGATACTTTTAGTTTAGATATGCATATTATTTTATTGTGAGCTAAGAATTTTAACTTAGAGTGCCAAAAACTTTGCCATAAGTAAGTTGTATCAGAAATGGTAGAACCATTATCCTTAGACTCTTTCTCTTAATTTTTACAGTGATAAAAGTTTTGGCTTAGTTATACTTCCTTTTTTTAAAAAAAAAAAAATTCCTATTTCAATTTAATTTGGCTTTTTCTTTACTTTTTGAAAACAATGATTTAGCAACTCAAAAAGTTTTTTATGTATTTTTTATTTCAGAAATATAATCACTAAAGTGGGACTGTGAAATAATAGCTTTATAGTAATCATTGTCATTTGCATTGGTTAATTATTCAGTCTTTATGCCTTAACATAGCTTAGTTAAAGCCAAGTAAAAAGAATTTCAGTGAAGTCTGGATAGTGTTATCTTTCTGTTACTATATCTGAGCCAGTAACTAGAAGCTTAATTTTTATATTAAGTTATTAACTACTTGTATCCTTTAAATTTCCTTCACCTGGACCTCTGTTACCATCATATTTAATAATTTATATACTTCATTTCAACTGTGACAGTGTATGATTTTATGGTTTTGTTCAGCCAGGTTTTAAGTTACACAATATTTCTTAGGAGGCTATAAAAGTTTATATGTACGAATCAACAAAGAAACCCATACTGATCCTGCACAATAGGAAACAGAATTTGTCATCATCTCTGTTCTATAGAAAAGTTTGCTTTTTGTCTAAGATGTTGAAAGCCCTCTGTAAACATTTTTAGTTTCTTGAAAATTAATATTTTTTTCCCTTTGGATTTTGACTCCCTATAATTTTGATTTTGATTTTATTTTTCTGGTGCTAGAGAAAAATGTGCTTTGCACATGCTAACTAGTCATGTGTTCTTCCACTGAACTGTGTCCTAATTTTGATTTTAAATAAAAGAAACTCATATTTGCTTAGAATAAGACTTCTTAAGTATAATGTGACACTCACAGTAGGATAAAACTTATTCTGACACTGAATAATGTTCTTTTACAATTTAGTGAATATTTTAATCATGGCAATTGAAACTGTTTTGAAGATAAATATGTAATTCTTGAAAGAAGGTTAGGTGACCAACCATCCCACTTTGTGTTGGCCTGGGATTTCAGTGCCAAATTCAACAAAGCTCTTAGTAAACCAGGATAAGTTAGTCAGTCACCCTAGATGTAGGGGTACTACCACTAATCCAGGAATCTTTATAAATTTAAGTCTTGCATAAAATCAAAGTGATACCTTTCCTGTGACAGAAGGAGTCATTATAATATTTGGAAAGAAGTGGTCCTCTGGTTCAGTCTAGTATTCCTTCAATGTTGTTGTGTCTTGATTGCATCCAATTATATTCTATAAGTAGTATAGGACTACTTACTGGAGTTCTTGAAACCAATTTTGTGGTTGCAGTAGGTGGTCAAAAAGAATAAATAATATGTTGGGAATAGAGCTATCAGTTTGATTGTATCTGTTTTATCCCCATTCGGGTAAATTAAAGTCTGATAATACTCATGTACTTTGACACGATTTCCAACAGTGAAAAAAGTCCATTTGCTATGGGATGATAGGTTTGTTTAAAAAATATATACCTTCCAAATACACAACAATATTCTAGTAAAATTGATGAACACTCCTGTAGTTTTAATTAAGCAAATAATGTTTCAGATCTTTTTTTCTAGCAAAAAAGGATCTTCCTGAAGCAGACATTGAGCTTTAGATTAGTATAAAGCATATATTATTTAATTTTACTTAATTGACAATTACTTACCAATTAGTATACATTCTTTAACTTAATGCTTAGAACAATCTTGAGTAGTGATAGTATTGTTTCCATTTTACACCCTAAGACTCTGAAGTCCGAAGGGGTTGAACAGCTTTCCAGGTTCACCCAGCTATCTAGGAAGTATTGGGATTAGGATTCAAATCTTCATATGCTTACTCCATTGTGAAAACTCAAAGCAATGAACTTGCAGGAATCTAATAAAACTCTTTTCTTCATTACTTCTAATTTAACATTTCTTTGATGTTTTGTGTTTCTTAAGTATATTGTGACATCATAGTAGGATAAAACTTATTCTGACACTGAATAATGTTCTTTTACAATTTAGTGAGTATTTTAATCCTGGCAATTGAAACTGTTTTGAAGATAAATATGTAATTCTTGAAAGACGGTCAGGTGACCAACCATACCACTTTGCATTGGCCTGGGATTTCAGTGCCAAATTCAACAAAGCTCTTAGTAAACCAGGATAAGTCAGTCAGTCACCCTAGGGCTACATGTATATATACAATTGGTAATGTATTTTGGTTTCTATATCTGTTTTGGTCATATTTATGCAAAGCATCTATTTTCCATGATTATATTGTTGTTTCGTTCTCTGATAAGTATATGATGGGAAAATAAAAGAAAAGAAGCAATTAGTATACTCAAGTGTTTTCAGATATTCCTTCCAACCATATGTTAGCTTTATTATAATTTTTTAAATAAATTCGAGCTAGCGTATCTGCTATTTCTCCTACTCCTACTCCTGAGTACTGTGTATTCTTGATTTACCTATGTGAATTTGAAGAGGGACAATTCCTTTGTTTAATTTAATTTTAATGCTTTAATTTCTAAAGCATATACATACTTTTTTAAATGGAATTTTTCAAATTAGAGAAAATAGTTGAAAACAGGAATGGTTGACTATATAGAATGTGAAACTGTAAAACATATAACGTGCTATCTGTAATTGACTGTAGGCTAACAAAGCACATATTTTCTAAGTCACACTCAACTAATTGATTACCTATCCAACCACAGCTGTGGAGAATGGTACTTTTAAACCATTTCTTTTCATTTACATCTGCAGGCACTAGGAAGAAAAGGAGGAAAAATTCATTTCTTTTCCTTTATAAGTAAGAAAATAAATAAAATTGATCTCTTGGTATGCCATTTTTAATTTCTTCTTGATTGCATATAGTACAAAGAACATGGGCTCTGGACTCAAAAAGACCTTGTTTCCAATTTTGATCTTGAAATTAAGAAAAATCTTGATCAAATTTGGTATTGACTAAATATTTGTTTCTTTTTCTTCTGTTTTTGGCATAGAATGAATGTTTTGTCTAACAAAGACTTTAGGGACATAAATCCTAGATCCTAACCAAGTGAGTTTGAGTAAGCTATTTATAAATTGTGAATCCCAGCTTTTTTTTTCCCCTTTTGTAAAATGAAGATATTAAAACTGCTGGTATGAAATGTACTTGAACCAACACATGTAAAACATGTCTTACGATGCCGGATACATAGATATCGTTCACTTTTGCTTTTCCCAAACTTCTTTTTATTGTTTCAGTGTGTCTTTGTGGATTTTACATGGTAAAACAAGTTTCAGATGCCAACTAAAACCCTTCAAAATGAACTTTGATAACCTACTTTTTTATCTTGCAGACATAATAAAATTAGTATGCTTTTTATTCAGCTCAATAGTATAAATAGAAACCAATATGATCCTAGATCTAGGTTTATGTTTTCACAATAAAATCAGAGAATGTTCATAAGGGATAAAATTTTGTCTTTTTTGGTTAAATGAGTTTGTTAGAGAATCCAAATGCTTTCTCTAAACCATACAGCTGATTGGTGAATAAAAGCACCAGACGTGAGTCTCAGTTTTGTTTATAAATATTTATGGAGGCTCTTTGGTAAACCAAGCAAGGTACTAGACCCTGGGGACATTATCATAGCTGCAGCTAGCTCAGCTTGGTGGCAGATAAACATTAAATCTAACAAGTGTTATGATATAAGTATGCAAGAAAGGTCACTGCCTAGTGGAGGATTAGGAACTTTCCTAGAAGTTTTGAAGTTTAAGGTATCTTAAAGGGTGAATAATTAAGAGTGAAGGCCTTATCTAAAGAATCTCCTCAGTGTTGTCTTTTCCCTTTGTTTGTGACTCATTCATTGAAACATTTAGTACCAAGCTCACCACTTTCTTCTATACCCATCTACTATTTTGTTAGTAACCCTAACATTATTGTATATAATCTGCCTACCCTCTCAGTGTCCTAATGTCCTTACTCCTAACAGTTTCTTCTACTTACCTTACTTAGCTCCTTCCATGCTCATGCCCTATAGTTTTTCATTTCTGTTCTATCCCATCATCATCAACATTTTCATTTTTCTGTCCTCTTCTAGGTCCTGACTTTTCTCCTTAAACAATATAGATTACACAAGGCTTTATTTTTTTTAATTGATTTAAAAAAATTTTTTTAGTTGTTTATAGATCTTTATTTTATTTATTTATATGTGATGCTGAGAATCGAATCCAGTGCCTCACACATGTCAGGCAAGTGTTCTGCTGCTAAGGCCCAGCCCCATCCCACAACCCATTTTTTAGTCACTCCATTTTAAACATGTTTAATTAGTTAAGTCTGACTTGTTTTAAACTTGGAAAAGCTTATTCTTCCTCTTCCCTTACCTTCCCCACCCCTACCCATAGCTGAATATTGCTGGAGAAAATAAAATAATCATTCTTACTGACTTGTCTGACTTTAAATTCATCATTATAAATCTTAAGTGGCAGTCAATATTAGAATGTTTGCTTTTTTGCTCTCCATAATGATTTGTTGCAGAATTTCTTTTTAACACACAATTCAGCACAGGCTCTGGCCCAGTGCATGTAGTTGAATATCATGCCTGCTAAATCACTGAAAGAATAGAAACCAGTCTGATCAGAACTTCTCTTTTTTCCTTCAAATCTCCTAAAATGTTTGCTTTGTGCTTAACCTCTCATACTACTTTTCTTTTATATTGAAAATGTAACTGGTTCTATCAAGAACTAATTTCTTTCCCTTTGCTGTGGCTCTTGGTTTTCTCTCCTGTTCAAGGACTTTATCTCTAAATATTTTTACTTCCTCAACTGCTGTTATCTCCTTAGCCATCCAAAGTTGAGCTTGTCTTTACCATACCCAATTAACTCATCATAGCCATGAATAATTTTAAAAAATTGTTCCAAGGGTTCTTATTTCTTTTCATTTTTTAACTTCTCAGCAGCATTCAACCCTGTTCACCACTGTTCTTTTGAAATATTTCTCTTGACTTCCAGAATATCTGATTGTATTCCTGTTTTTATTGTCCACTTGTTTTTGCATATAGAATTTTCTACATTTGCTCGGTATCTAAATGTTAGAATATCAAAGGGTTCTCTGTTCTGGATTCTTTTCTTATTTCTCATCTCTGTTCTTTCCTTAAGTCACTGTATCTAACCTCTTAACTCTAAAAATTATTAATATGATCTTAACACCCAGATTTATGTCAACAACTCTGACTTTCTCCCTGAGCTCTACATCAGTATGTCGTTTAATATGTCCTAAAATGCCCTGTGATTCTCCCCATGTTCACCTCCCCTAGACTTTGTCATTTTAGGAAACAGTACCATTAACCCATTGTCTTATGCCAAAACTTAGAAGTTTTTCCTAATTAATATCTTTCCTTCATATGACCAGGCCCTCTGAATTTATATACATCTTAATTCTTGGATCCTTTTTGCCACTTCTTTTTGATATGGATTTCTTATCCATTCTTTGGGTTTCTAACAAGATGCATTTATGAAACACCTATATATTAAGTAATTGAACCAAAAGTCAAAAGGAGTAGTGTAATTTCCGCTATTCAAATATGTTAATGATCTCTAAATTGTTTCAGGAATGTACCTTATGTTAATTTAGGCATTCTTGTCTGAAGATGAGAATGGCTATGATTTGGTGATATATATTCATATTCTTTTTAGCTACAGGTTATTCAACACACTATTCGGTGATAATGTTCATGTTTCCAGAGCCCATTTACTCCTTCCTAACTTCAGTTTGTTTTTTAGGATGGTATACTAGAAGAACAATTACGAATGTATCTTCAATGTTGTTTGACACTTTGTGATTTCTGGGAACCAAACATTTCTATTGTCACCATTCTATGGGAATATTATAGTAAGAACCTGGTGAGTTACTAGAATATGGGATTTACTCCAGGAATTTGAAGAGTCGGTATGTCATATTTAAGGGAATTTTTTTTTTTTTTGAGAACCAGGGATTGATCTCAGGAGCACTCGACCACTGAGCCACATCTCTTACCCTGTTTTGTATTTTATTAGAGACAGGGTCTCACTTTGTTGCTTAGTGCCTCACTAAATTGCTGAGGCTGGCTTTGAACTCGAGATCCTCCTGCCTCCGCCTCCTGAGCCGCTGGGATTACAGGCATGCGCCACCATGCCTGGCCTTGAGAGGATTTTTATGCTTTCATTATGAGCAGCTATCAGTTTTTCTTGAAAAGTTAATTTTTGTTTAAAAGTAGATTGGAATAGTTCAAGAGTAGTTTTAACTTTCAAAAAACTTGTTTATAAAGAATTGGCATATACACAACAGCATCTGGTGTCTCTTTCCTCTTGAGACTGTGTATAAACAAAGTGGCTAAAATTAAAGCAGAAAGATTTTTTTCTAATGCTCGTTTTTAAATATTTTCTGATAATAACTGATTGCTTGTGATACATTGAATAAATACTGCTATCTTGAATAAGATACCACTTTAGCACCTAAGTAGTTTATAAGTTAATGGGCAGGTACACTCATATTTTGGGGAAAATGTTAAAATGCCAAAGAATACCAGATTTCAAAAGGTCATAAAATTTTAAGTTCACTGTAGGGATAAGTAGAATTTTCCAACTACAGAAGAAAACAATCATACAGGCTGAAGGAACAACATGGATAAATGTATGAAGATATGGAAGAATAAGGTCTATTCCTATCATTTTTATAGTTCTGAAAAATAGGCCTGGAATGACAGTGGAGAGAGATTATAGATAAGAAGAATAAAGATGTTAGTTTTGGGAGACTGGTAGACTATGAAGGATTGTAGATAATTTACAGTTGAGTTCTAGTTTATTCGGGAGACATTGGAAAGCAAGGATGTGACATATTAGGTTATGTATTTGAGAAAGTTTTTGTAAACAAATTGGGTACACATGAGTTAGTCCATTGTATTTATATGAGATAATACTGTGGCTTATGAGAATCTTTATATGAGAATTAAAATAAGGGCAATTTTAAAAGGAGAGGATGAGTTTGGAATATAAAAATTTAAAGAGTAATTTTAAAGATTCCATTACCTGTGTTGAAAAAAGAAGAGATTTGGGATATTGGGGTTTTGTATAAATAGTGAACTTCTCTATTAAGATAGAAAATGATAATGGAAAAATTACCAATAAATGACAGGTTTGGGTTTTATATATAATGGAGCTTATTAAAAGTGAAAAATACCTTTCTTTAAAGAATAATATTAGGCTAGTTGGAGAAAAGACCAAGGCAGAGATGTATAGAGTCTGGAGTACTTTGTGACACAAGAGAGCATAGAAAGTATCAAAATTAAGTTAGAGTCATGTCAAAAGGACATAGGAATTGATTTGAAGAAGCTCCCATTGATCAAAGAATGAAAATTCGAGCTTAAGAAAAAATAATGACTACAATGGACTAAAACATCAAATATGTTTTAAGTTTTCAAGTTCATAATACTTTTAAAATTATTCTGGAAGGTATAGAGTACCTCATTTTGAAAACTATAAATAAAGGAAAATAAATACTATGTTTTGGCCAAATCAAATTTTGGATCAGCTAATTTAGAATAAATGGTAGGATTATAAAGTCACTATTTTATATGTCTAGTGAAATATGCATATAGACAGTAAACTTTAGTGGCTGCTAAAAATGTTAAAGGCAGGGATCACTAAAATAAGTAGATTAGGCTGACATCCTCATCAGTCTTAACATTACAGAAAGTCAGAATGTGTGTGTCTCTTTAGTAAACATAATAGGAAGCACTTGGTACTACCAATGAAAGAACCTTGCCAAAAAAATTGCCAAAACCTTGCCAAAAAAATATTTAATGTGAATGATTTAGCTTCTAGATAGCTACACTATTTTACAGAAAACATATAAATATAAAAAAAATATGTTAAGTGATATGAGGCGGATGCAAATAGTTAAATCCAGAACATTGGAAATTCTGTCCAACAATTTTCCTGATGTAAAAAATGAATGGTACAACAAGAACATTGGGGAATTTCTGCAGTAAAAGAGTGTTAAGGATTATACCTTATTAAATCTTATTTGTATTCTAATTTGGACAAACCAACTGTTAAAAACACATTTTGTGGATAAGCCAAAATTTGAATATCCTTGATTTTCTATGGTTTTATGGAATTTTTTGGAAGGGAGGTGGTATATGATAATGGTATTGTAACAGAAAAATAGTTTTGTGCTTAAGATAATTTAAACTTTTAGTGAGCTAATTGGAATTTGTAGTTTCCCATTTAATGTACTAAGAAATTAATACTTATTATCTGTCTTATTTTACTTTTAGAATAGTTCCTTCAGTATTTCTTGGCTTCCTTTGAAAGGCCTTGTTAATAACAAGTCACCTTTGTCTATGCTTGAAATGGTGAAGACTTGCTGTTGTGATAAACAAGATCCTGACCTATATAAATCCAGCAGTAGTTATACAATTTTTCTTTGCATTTTGGCAAAAGTTGTTAAGAGAGCAATGAAGAACAATGGCCCTCATCCTTGGAAACAAGTCAAAGGAAGGTGAGTGCAGTATCTTTCTTTGTCAGGAATGTTCATTGATATCTTTGGAGAAGTGTTTACAATTTGTATTTTTTAAAGTAAACTGTGATTAGAGTCCTTTTTCACATTTAAAATGTGAAACTTAACATAAGACAACAAAATGTGGAACACTTTGATTTTGTCAGTTGTAATACTGAGGAACAAACTTAAAATCCATAACTTGAAAAGAGTTTCAATTTCTTTTTTTTAATCAGTAATGAGACTATCATGAGTATTGATAGAAAGTTTACTTTAAATGATGAATTTTTGTGAATGAAATAATTTTATTAAAGCAATTTGTTTATGTTTTACAGAATATATTCTAAATTCCATCAAAAAAGGATGGAAGAATTAACTGAAGTTGGTCTACAGAATTTTTTCAACCTTTTTCTACTGTTAGCAGCTGTTGCAGAGGTAGAAGATGTAGCAAGTCACGTTTTAGACCTCCTGAATTTCCTCAAGCCAACCTTTATAAAATCTCAGAGAGCCCTCATTTGGAAGGGTCAGATGGCATTTCTCTTACTGTATGCTCAGAAAAATCTGGACATTGGTGTTTTGGCTGAGAAATTTTCCTGTGACTTTCAAGAAAAGGCAAAGGAATTCTTGGTATCTAAGAATGATGAATTGATACAAAGACATAATCTCTGGACCCTTCTTTCCATATACATTGATGGTGTTCAAGAAGTATTTGAGACCAGCAATTGCTTATGTCCTTCCCATGAAAAACTGCTTAATGATGGATTTGATATGCTTCTACGAGCCTGTCGAGAATCTGAACTTAGGACAGTGTTGAGCTTTCTACAAGCTGTTCTGGCCAGAGTCAGGTATGTTTTTCTGCAGTGTTTTGATTTTTATATTAATTTCTCCTTCAACATACTTAGAAACCAAATATATAAGGAAGTATTTGTTCTACTGATATATTTGCAAAAATCATTAGTTTTCAAACTATTTTTTCCAATAGTAGTTCTTAAAAAGAAAGCTCTTATGCAAACAGGAGATGCAAAACTAAACTCAGAGCAGTTCTGATATAATTGCAGAGCATGCTCTTAGACCTCTTTCTTCCCCTACTCTTTCTTGGGAAAGAATATAATTACTGAGAGTTATGTTATCGATATTCTAAATAAGACCATGAGCTCAAATCTGAGGTGGCTTTTATTGAAACATTGAAGCAAATGTAATTCTGTGTCCATAAGGAGGTTTTGGCTCAACTGAACCATTGAAAAAAAAAAAAAAGTAAGTTTCTATAAATTTTTGCTGTAAAGTTACAGCTTCAACATCATCAAATTCTTCCTGCTGAATCCATTTGTTTTGAAATGAACATAAGTTTATTCTAACACCAATCATCTATACAAGACTTAGTATTTTCAGATCCACCTAAATTATGTTAAGACACTACCACTCGGTGTAGTCAGTCACTGCCACTGAAAATTTGTGTAGAAGTTGTATATAGAAATAGGATTTATTTGAAACCATGTCTGAAGTTAACAGACTGCTTCCCTCCTAATATCACATTACAAAAGTAACATCTGTTATCAGACATTTAGGAGCATAGGAATAAGAAAGGAAAGGAGCATGTGGGCCTGTAGAGAAGAAGCAGTCATGGAAACAGTGGCAGAATTTACCACTTTTCTACCTTTTCCATTGAAAGATAAGTTTATTTTAATCCTCCTCAACAATTGTTATTTTATTCTTACATGGTTTTTAAACAAAGACTTATATCTTACACTTTTAATTTAAAATTTTAGTTAAGAATGCTGGGTAATCTTTTTTATTTTTGTTAAAATTATTTTTTACATTGTTAATGTAATATTTTTGTGGTAAAATGTTTTTTTTTAAAAAAAGTATAAAGTGATAAACTTTTTTCTCCCACCTTCATTTCTTCATTTTCTTGTTCAGTGGTTCTCAGTTGGGGATGAGTTTGTCCCTCAGAGGACATTTGACAATTTCTGGAGATATTTTTAGTTGTTAAAAATAGGTGGGTACCACTGGTGTTTAGTGGGTAGAGGTCAGGAATGCTGCCAAAGAATTATCAGCAGGGCTGAGATTGAGAAATACTATTCTAGTTCTACCCTCACAGAAGTAAAATAATTTCTTAGAAAACCTTCCAGACATTTCCCCCTATTTATTTGTATGTTTAACATAAAACAGACAATCTTTTTTCAGAACAACTCCTTTTTTGGCTTAACATTCACACATTTCCTAGACAGCTTTTTATGTTAATTCCTGGAGACCTACTTAATTCTTCTTAATGAATGCTTATTGTTCCATTGTGTAGATGTGCTAAACTTTATTTAAGCAGTCCCCAGTAATAGGGATTTATATTATAATTTACCATTTTGTTTTGTTCTAACACATTTTAATTTAATATCTTTATATGCATCTCTGTGTATGTGTGGAAGTATGTGTAGGTTAATCCCAAGAAAGAATTGGTATGTATAAATTTTAAATGTGAATGGGTATTACCAAACTTCCTACAAAAAATATTGTATCAGTTTTTACTGTTTCTGATAATGTGTGAAATAGCTTCCATTTTCATTCTTTCATCATTGTGTGGAATGTCCTTAGCAAAAATACATTCTAAAATAAGAAAACAGAACTCTGTTAAAAATGTTAGTTGAAACTGTAATAGGAGAAAGAGACCTATTTTGAAGATTGTGGAGGCTTTAAAAATAGAAATATGAAGAAAGCAAAAGAAAAAAAAAAGATGATTTTTTTCTCTATTTCATGTTTATTCATTGACTTTGGTTTGTTATAAAGCTTCTAACTAGAACTTTTCTTGGTAATTCTTCAAAAGTAGTAACTAGAAACACCAGAATAATTCTTATGTTTCTGAAAGAGTCACACTTTACAAATACTGTCTTCTTTCTTAATTAACACTTCCATTCCTATTTATAGATTTTTTTAAAAATTGAATTTTGGAGACTTTGTAGCTTACCTAAAATAACAGTTAAATTTCAGAATTGGCTTTCAAACTCAAACCCATTATACAATTGTTGCTTTCTTATGTTGTCTTCTAATAGTTTGTAAGTAATTAAATCTACACTAATCCTATCTCTATACTTTTTTATAAATTGGAAGTAATTGCATGGGTGAAGTCTGCAAGCTATTTGCAGACCTGAAACTATTGCTACTATTCATATATTTTTGAGTGGTTTTACCTTTTGTTTTTGCTATTAAAAAAAGATAGTTGCTTATTGGGGGACTTTTGATTACTTTAATTTTTCGAATTTTGCAGATTCCTATTTAATGAATCAGTTGGAAAAAATGAATTGAGATATGCAGACAAGTTACATTTTATATATAGTAATTTGCCTTTGATTTATTAGCACCATTGCAACTATCTAAATTTCACTTAATGCAATACAGAATTTTTTACATTTATTATGAGTTTCTCAAGTGGATCTGGATTGTTTTGTGGGCTTGCTATCTTGAGCAGGGGATTATAGTGAGTACTACTGATCTTCTTATCTAGCCTATGAAAAAAGAGACAGATGTTTATAAATTGTTAACATTTGATGCCTTGTATAAATGTGTAGTTGGTTTTGTTTTATACTGTTCATTGCTAAAAAAAGAATATCCAATCATTTACAACTTCTATTACCAAAATTATAAAACACAGAGAAGTATGAAGTCAGTGTGTAAATAAGAGGGTATAGCAACACACAAGTTTTAATGATAACATACTTTAGGCACTGTCATCCTTTATTTCTGAAGCTTGCATAGCAATTTGCACACAGATTTTTAGTGAGATTGATCACAGTATATAATAAGAGGAACTATGACTTAGTTTCTTTGTCTCCCAACAGCTTTTACCACTTCTAAGGCAGATATGACCAAAACTGACTAGAGTTTTGTTTGGGGTCTTTTGGGGAAAGACCCAGAAATCATGCAGAATTGTTTACCTTAAAAAGAAAGAAGGAGGGAAACCCTTGTTGGGTCCCCTCTCGTCCTGTGGGAGCACCCTTGAATAAATCCTACTCTTACACCTCAAAAAAATTAATAAACAATATAAAAGAAAGAAAAGGGAGGAGAGGAAACATAAGAAAAAGTTATTTAGGTATTTGATTTCAGAGGTATGTTCCTAATTTCTTAATCCAAAATCTAGAACTTCATTGAAGATCTTTTCAGAGTCATCTTTTAAGTGTGCTGTATACTCTTAATACTAGGATAAAGATAAAAAACATTTTGAATAGTTAAAAATTAAAGCATGTGGTTTTTTTTCCTTCTTTAAAGTTGAGAACTGAGCTAAATTCTTTGAATTTTGGTTTAGGTAGGGAAGATAGATTACATAGATTGATGATATTTATTCCTGGCTGCATCCCTGCCAAGGAAAAGAATGAAATACTTTACCTTAACAATCTCTTCTGTTTTCAAAATCAGGTGGGAATAAGGTACCAGACCTTGCATAAATGTGTGTGCAGGGTGTGTGTGTGTGTGTGTGTGTGTGTGTGTTGAACTGGGTAATAGTTTTATAACTGTATGACAGAGAAATTATAGGTGGGAAGGAACTAAGATCACTGATTAAAGAGGAGAAGCAGCTCCCTCTAGGCTGTTAAGAAATAATAACTTCATATGCCACTTTCTGCTAACTGGAGCTGATGGCTCACCAGAGCATTCTTTATTGCTGATTAAGTAGCATTATGAAAATACTGACTTGGTTATGTTAACTAAATGCCTCTGTGTTTAAAACTTCGAATGTCAAATAGTTTTAGCAGTCATCTTTAACATTTCACATTACCTTTCTGGAACACATTTCTAGTTCTCACTTGCTGTTATTTGAGGTTAATATAAAAATGGAAATCTTTTATTGTGGAGATTGGTTTAGCCAAAAGCTTTTCTTTAATTATATCCATTCATGCTGCTATAGTTAAGGGTCTGTCAGCATTTCCATTATAAACCTCTATTTTCAGGGTTTTATAACATAGCTATGAAAATTAGCTCTGGGCAAAAACTTGACATACAAGGCCTCATGAGATCCTCCCTCCCCCCATTTCCCTTTTTCATTTTTACCGATGTAAGGGTGAGTGATTTTAAAATGCCTTTTGGCATCTGCAAATATCATTTGGAGTTTAAAAAGAAACAATAAATTTTCAGGCTTTGTACCTGTTTGTTCTAACACTTAAGGGAGGTTGTGGACTTATGAATTTAAGCCAAATGGTTATTGATCAACTGACATCCTATTTTGTATTAAACAAGAGCCTATTTTCAAAGAAGTCTAAATGCAGTTGAGAACTAGCCTAAAAGGCTAGATGTTGAGACTAAGGCATAGTTCAGAGAGGATGACTACTTTTTTTTTTTAGAGATGCTGTATATTGAAGTACAATTCCTTCAATAAGACTAAGCCTCTTTTCCCAGACTTCAAAATACACATATTTTAAATCCCTTTTTTTTTTTTCTTTTCCTGTGAAGTTAGAGGATCACCTATTTGTTATGTATCTGTTTCCGTATTTGAGAGGTCTGTGCATGCATGGACACATGCATAAAATGTCTGTTTATTATTCCCTTCAAATATTCTCTATGCTCAATAGCTTTATTGGCATAGTAGCATCTATTCTAAACAAAGATTTTTCTTTTCTCCTTCTGTTAGTGGAAGAATTGGGGACTGACTAGACAGGAAAGGAGGTAGTACAAGAACAACTATTCTCTGAAGGATCTGCTATATGTCAAGTAATTTACATGATATTTAAGGAAAAATATATGGATCATCTTTACAGCATGCAAGTTTTTTTCTTCCTTTTGTTATTGAGTGTTAGTATGAATGGGTTATTTTTAAAATAATCAAATGTATTGGGCTGAGGTTGTGGCTCAGTGGTGGACCGCTTTC